AAAGAAAATGAAGAAACTCATATTTACTCTAGTCTCGTTCCCTGTTGTGTCTAATCAAATTCCCGAATGGCAAGAAACAAAGATGTCTTATTTTCGATGCAAAGAGATTAAACTCTGCACTGACCCAAAGGAAAAGTTTGGGTTTTAAAGTTTGCTTTTGAATTAGACACATTTTTACTTCGCCCTTTTCACAAACTGAATGAACCACTTAGTCATATTTTTGTGCTGAATTTCCTTGGCGGAACTTGGGGGTGTGATTTCTGACATCTATTTAAAAAAATATCACATGCATTTGTGCCTCGCTGAGAACTTCATGGCAACCACTTCGTCTTAGTGTGTCCACCGCCAGAGGGCTGAAAAGGAATTTGGCAGAGACTCTTAAGACTGCCTACGTGTGGGAATGCGAAAGCATTCTAGTCCCTTTGGTGAAAAGTTTCCAGAGCCGTGAAGCCGCCTTGGCGTCGTTGAAGCGCTCTCGTCTTGCACCCAGGAGCCTCGGGTACGATTCCCACCCAGACCGAAACGTACCAAATTTTCCTTTCATAGCCATTAATTTGCTTTTTTTTTTACACTGCAGGAACCTGACTGAGAAACTTGACGTGAATCTGAGAATTTTCGACGTGTTTTAACTCTATGCACCGTCGACCATTTTTGGTACCATCGCTCGGTCATGCCGCCGACGCCGCCGGATTTTCGCGTAATGTGGCCTACAATGCTTTTGCATTAAAAGGCCGCAAAGCTTGGTGCACACACCCTGTCGCGGTGTATGTACCAAGCGGTATACTCCCTTCACCGCTAAGCCGACAGGGCGCTGTAAAACATCCACGTGTTCGTTAAAGCAATCAGCTGTCGCCTTTGCATCACATGATCAAGGTTTCTGTGCATACTCACGGGCTAAGAGGTGGATGAGGCGATAAAAGGCAGGCGCGTGATTTACCTGTGCACGTAGCCTCCACCGTCCTGTGAGCCGGGGTGAATAGAGTATAACAAAACCGATCGTTTTTGTTCAGACCTTCGAAGGTCAAGTTTCGCTTTCTTTATTCCTCTAGAAGTTCGCAAGGATGCCCGGAGGGCTACAGCTCGCCAGTGCTGCACCACGTTTCTTCCGCCACTCTTCTCCGACACGCGCTTCCGGGATCTCCCTGCTGGCTAGGAATGTCCTGAGCCTACCGTGATTCGAGGTTGACCAGGTTAAACGTTATGGCAATTTTGACGCAAAGTTCCAGAAAAGTTCTACTACTCTTTGATTCTATAATGCGCAGAAATCAAGGATCAATTAGCGCAACTTGCTTAGGAGGATGGAAACTTTATTTTAAACACTAAACCTTTTGCTTTTGTATAATGTAAAACATTTAAACCATCGTCCAAAGTTAAAAAAACAAGCTGTAGTGTGTATATTATGTTCTTTTTAATTTATTATTTTTGCGCGGAAGTTGGGCAACGCTGCTCAACGGTCAGGCTTTGTCAAATACTGCCAAAGGTTTGAACGTAAATCGAACTAGTTGTGCCTGGAGGTTCGTCGTGGAACCTCATCTTCGATAAGACGTCACCACATTTTTTTTTCTCTTGATTGTTCCTTGTGTTTACATCTTGAAAGAATCCTTTCCTTCCGTCGTCGCTCTACCACGCGGTGGAAGGCCTAACGCCTTTTGTAGTATTTGCTAACCACAGCTGTTCGCTCCGTTTAAGCGGCTCACATTTTTGCCGGCTAAACGCTCAGTGCGAAAGTGACATCTGTTTTTGATTGTGTGTTGGCTCGGTTTCACAGCAATGAAATATGAAAGAATAGGTTTGATGAATTTTATAAATACATATTAGATGCATCAGAAGGCGCTTTTGTATGCGGTTTCTAGTGACGATGACATAATAGTGACGGAATCGCTTGGCTTCTAGCAGAATCATCAAAAATAGTAGTTTGCTTGTCTTGCTATAAAAACGTTAAAAATACATAAAATGTTTTTCACGCAAATGCGATGTATATTTTTTTTTCCTTCAGCTGCTTTCTTAAGCCACATTTGCTGCGCCCGAAAATATTTTGTGGCTACAATCTTCGATGCGACATTGTTCGTGTTTACTTCGCAATAAGATGAATGCCGGAAATGTGCAGTGTTGGCGACCGTTCACATAATGAGCATAATTAGGATGGATAAATATCGACTGTCTCAAACTCAAACGAATACGCGTACTTCAGCTGTACTTACATTAAAGAATTTTGTCGCTACAATCTTCGATGCGACATTGTTCGTGTTTACTTCGCAATAAGATGAATGCCGGAAATGTGCAGTGTTGGCGACCGTTTACATAATGAGCATAATTAGAATGGATAAATATCAACTGTCTCAAACTCGAACAAATAAGCGTACTTCAGCTGTACTTACATTAAAGGGCAACTCCGGCCAAAACTCAAAATGAAATAAATTACTGGTATCGCTGTAGTGACACAAAATACGACCCCAGCCAAAATATTACGTCCAAGGGACTCCGCATTCTCAACTAATGACGATAATAAAAATGCGACCCGCCGCGAGCCGCTGCTCCTTAGCGGGCGGCCAGCGGGTTGCCGATCGCTAAAGCAACATTGGGCCGTGACGTCCCCATCGTTCTCTTTTTTTTTTTTCCTCCGGTCCGGGCGTTGCGCGGAGTGCGCTTCTCTGAGGCGCTACCACCGCTACTTCGGCTTGTGACTGGCGTGTTTAGCCGTTGCTTTTATCTGTAGCCCGTGTAGCTTCGGTATAGCCTTTTGTTTATTTGCTTGTGATGACTCCAAGACTCCTTTTAGCGAGCAACTCGGTGCGCCCAAGACTGCCCAGCTGTTCCTCGAAAGATGTCGAGTACAACTTGTAGCGCTGTGGGCTGGTCACACAACCCGCTGCGCATCCCGGAGGTGCTTTTTCACAAGTTTCCAACGGACCGGAAATTGGAGAAGGTGTGGGTGAACGCTGTTCGACGAGTGGACTTTGGACTTCGGTTTTTACCCGCCCGAGGAAAAAAGAACGAAAAAACAGACGTGTACAGCCCAGCACACATGTGTTCGGGCGCCGCGGGGCCCGCGCCAGAGAACCTCCAAACTCCGTGTCTGGAACTGACCCGCAGAGGGAAAGCGAGAGGGCCCCCTGTTCTGTACGTCAGGCAGCGCAGCGTAGAGCAACGCCACTCCATCCACGAAGCTTCGATGACAATTTAAGCCTAGTGACGAGTACGGAAAACCGTACGCACGGCGACAGACACCGAGTACTGCACTGAACGAGTTCACTCGTTTTCCAGTCGCTAGCTTCTGGGTATACAAGTGAAGAGTACGGCATAGCGCACGCACGGCGGCGGCCACCGAGTACGGCACCGAATGCGTTCACGGGTTTTCCAGTCGCTAGCTTTTGGGTATACGCACTAACTCTTGCTACATACGCTGGATAACTACCACGTATACAGAATTAAAATAAAGTCAGCTTACCTCCTATCTTTAGACGGCTAGCGCAATAGAGTTAAGTGCCGCTCGGCTTGCGTACTTGTCGCACGAGAACGATCCTGACGTCACGTTCACATTGCGGCTGATTTCCAGTGTTGCCGTTGCCTCGAGCGGCTAGTTTCGGTTTTGCTGGCCGCGCCTTAAACAAAACTTTGAGGTGTCATATCTTTAAAACTACGCACAATAACAAGAAAAAAATTGCACCTTGCAATTCAGGGACGCTGACTGCACTAAAAACTGTCATAATCCCAAAATCGAAAGTATGGACCGGAGTTGCCTTTTAAGAGCAATATTTTGTTATTCAGGCTTGTTACTCAGCGAATTAATTTGTAACGGTGAACACTCACTGACGCTTCTATGTATGGTCAAAAGTACTTCATGTTTTTTTTAGTTATTTAGGAAACGATGCTCTAAATAAATAAAGTATTTATTTGTGATAACTAGCAAGCAATGTAGACGTTAAGGCACAATTTAGACAGAATCTAATCTAAAATTACTAAAATAATTCTTATGTGGACGTAAGTCAAGTCGAGATTTGTAGCGCGTCGTCTGTATCAACTTCAGTTTTTTTTTTCAGATATACTGCTGGATCTTTGTTGAGAACTGTTGTAGGTGTGGGTTTTCCAAACAGTTTTAGAAGATAAATAAAAACATATACAAAAGACATCTTCGCGTTTCTTAAAAAAAAAAGTTGACCATATAACGCAACACATTTCCCAATCAAGATGTAACTGAATATCTTATTTTTTACTGTGATTCAATAGGAACACGTTACTTCGGCCTGAAAGTAACACGTCATTTTTCTCCTTACTCTAAATGTGCCACCCTTGCGAAGGAGTAGCCGCTTCCAATATTTGGCGTCGTTAATCATTCCTCGCCTTTGAACACGTTCATTCAGGGATAAGTCTGGCTTTACTGAAACACCTTGTGCATATCTTTTGATGGTCAGCCTATCGCTTTGTCCTCGTGCAAATATATCCCTTTCGAATCAATGCTGCTGAATTAAGGCTGCTGTTTTTATAAACAGGGTCTCAAAACGGGGGCCAAATCGCATCTAAAAATGTACGCATTGCACGAAAAAAAAAAAGAAGGTTGAAGTTTTATTGGTCTCTCACATAGGGCCTATTTAAAAAAAATCATAAATGTTCGGTGTGCATAGGTTCTGAATTGCTTTTGAGTAATTAACATTCTATTGGCAAACATAAAGGTAAGGCTTCAATTTGACGCTTCCTGGGTATCATTTCAAGCCGCATACTTTATGATAATCCACGCTATGAAGAAAAAAAAAAAAAAAAAAGAAACCGCCACTTAAGTAAGTTACATGTTGCTATTTTTTTTAAAACTGAGTTATATTATTTACCGCTTGAATCAAAATGGTAAGGTTAAGATTGTAGCATTATTGGAAAAAAACAAAAATTGATGGCACGCTACACGCTAACTTTGTTCTTTTTTTTTTTTTTTTTCAGCGCATTTAGAGGTTTAAGCATAGATAAATATTTAGGTATGATTTGACCGCTTGTTTTTTTCGTCTCTGCAGGTTCGGTGGAATGATTTTCAGCTGCTGGAAGACGATAGCAGCTGTTTGGATTCTGGATTATGCCGCAGATGCTGCTACTAATGAATACATATATCCCACGTAAGTTCTCAGAAGTGGCAACTTTTAACAACCATTTTGGTTTTCTGACCATGTTGGTTTTGATATGCTTCTTTGTTTCGTCACCAACCAAATGATTTAGCATCGCATAAACCTCAAGAAGAATAATGCATACTGACGTCGATCAAAAACATTCTGTATGATATATTGAGGCATTTTTGTAGCTACACTGCATTCTTTTATTATGACTTATGCGACTGTAATCTGCTTCAAAGTATAGTTAGAGTGGCATATATAAACCTGCTTTTAAACATGAAAAGTTTTGGGCTATTCGTAATTTGTGTAATTTTAATAAATAATGAATCACTCAGAAATTCGAAGGAGTACATTTTAAAAATTTACACCCCCACCAATGCAGCCAAACTATCAAGACTAAAAGATGCCTTTGAGACTTCTCATATATCACGTCCTTTACCGAAATTCTGTCAGCAAGCCTTATACGGCCGGCATAAATCTCAGGAATATTTACTTGCCGAAGACATTACGGCCTTCGCAGTAGGAGTGTACACGAGGGCCATTGGATGTTCCACTCAGAGGTTATAATTCATAGGCACTGAAATCAGTAAGTTCTGTTTTTGACTGACTAATGCCAGCCATCTTAAATCCGTAATAAAAATAAAATTAAAAAAAACGCATTTAGAATGCTTACGCTTGATATCTGAATATCCGCAAAATTAATCGGCATAATGGATGATGCACGGGATTTATGTGCGAAGCGTGTCATCTAATGCGTAAACTGGGAATACCGGCGTCCCGTTTACCCGCATGTGAGAAAATTAAGCCAACGTCGGTTCTGCCAGCCGTTTTGCGCCAATAGGGTTCGATGGCCCTGGATCAACATTTAGGAGCTATTGAAGCCGCGACGTGATTCTGCAATGAAGCTTGGGGGGTTTGGTACTTAGGAAAATATTAGGAAATACAATACGAAATATGTATAAACCCAACAGTTTATTTGTTTTTTGCGTAATTCTCAACTTTTACAGTCTATAAACAGCGCACCGGCGACTAGCAAAATGGCTGTTATCTGGACGATCCACGTAGAACAGCAGTACGAAGTAGTTAGGTTTGTCGATTTGTTTTTAGCTACCTAATCCAAAGTCATCATCTGAATGCGGGTGGCTTCCTGATTCCGAATTGCTACCACGTTCCCCCAGATACACTCTAGTTATTTTAATATTTCGTTCGCTGCCGAAACAGAAACATCGCTCTCGCCAGTTTATGCTCAATTCTCACCCCAATCCAAACGTGACGTGAGCGGCGGGCAGCGAGGCGCGCGGCCGGCAATCGGGTACGCTCGCGCCCGCCTTTCTCGCGCCTAACAGTGAGAAAACAGGGCCGTTCGTGCTACCTGAAGTTAGTCATAATCTGTAGTTGCACAAAGTATCACCGTTGCGTACGTGCTCAACTAGTATGAGAAAGTAAAAAAGAAAAGAAACACTGGAGCAAGTTAGGATTTTGAGAAAACTGTTTTTTTCAACTCGGTACGCTCTTGAAAGCCGCGCCTCGCTAGTTTCGTGAAATCGCTATCAAATCCGTTCTCCTTCTATCAGAAGCTTTCAGTTACGCTGGCGAAGAAAGGTGAAAAAGTCACGCAATATATTTTTAGAAAAATTACCCAAGCACCACGTAGAATGTTCGGAAGGGGGATACAGCTAGGGTGCCCCACACGCTCGTATTATCCGAAAGAAAGTGCTATTTGTTTAAGATTTCTTTTAGAAAGGTTACTGTCGCAGACGCCATCACGCGTAGCGCCTCTTGTAGCAGGCATATGCTCCATGGTGGTTAAAGAATTTAGCAAAAAATCCATAGTCCATTCCAGAAAGGCGCTTCTGGCACACCCTTGAGCGATATGAACGTGAACAGCCCTCTTCTTGTTTTTGACGCTCCTGCAAGTTTTGGAACAAGCTCTGTTCCAGAAGAGGGCTAGAATGCACAGTTTAGACCCTAAGCCACGTACCCTTTAAGACGTTGAGAGTTAATATAGCTTTAGGGAGCCGTAAAACAACCAGGTAAGGTGTTCACCTTCATATTGCCGGCGAGTGTACGTGCGTAGTGCGCACTTTGCTCGTCTTCCGAAGTGACGAACATGCGCATGTTGGGCTGAGACCTAACACATGTAGACTGTGATTCTCGTAAACATCGATATGTATAGTATAAAATGAATTGAATTCATGAAGGCCAGATGGCGGGTTACTGTTCGTGAAGATCGGGCTAAAATGGAAAATAAAAGAGCTCCGCAAACACCACGCCAAACATCAAGGTGCAATGAAAGTCAAATAAAATACACAAATAGACTATTTATCTTCAAATAAAGAATATTTGTTTGAAGACACTATAGCGTGTAAAGTACAAAAGTGCATCATGCAATGTTTAATTCAAAATAAGTTAACAAACGCTGTCCCCAACATTTTTTTTTACCAAAATGTCTTCTTTTTTTTAACTTTCGGAGTAGAATGCAACGCTCTCAAACACTCATCCACGAGTGCACATGGGACAGAGACCATTCTATACAAGGACTTTGTGCTTTAAAATTGTGGTTTTGCATGGCCTCCATTAGCTGTAAATTTACTATGCCTGCCCTCAACGACATTAATATTTTAATGGTTCTAAAACCTTTTCAGCCCTATCTATTATTTCTCCGCAGCAAACTAAGATTAAGATGTTTTCACCATCTCTTCTGCCAGAAAATATTGCACGACAAACATTCAACAGACCAGGAAACGGATCTATCGTATATTCATGGAGCTCAATACCTGCTCCCTAAACCACCTAAACCTATGTAATACTAGACACAAATAGCAATGCGTCGGAAGTCATGTTGTCGTCGTCGTCGTCGTCGTATGGTTTTCGCAGCATCTAGTGCCCACTGCACGCGCTCTCTGAAAACAAAAGAAGAAAAGTAGTCTATAAAAAACTGCCGTCGTAGCACTGTCAATGCCAAGAGCTCGGGCCGGGAGACGAGCTTTCACGAGTTACGAGCTCCGAATAAAAAGAAAAAAAAAAAAAAGAAATGAAAAAGCTCGGAACAAAACGGAAGGCAACAAAAGCGTTCGGAGCAAAACCGGTGTCTATTTTGTTTCGAACGCTTTTGTTTCCACACGGCCCACACCCCTCCGCCCCATGGTGCATAAAGACCCCGCCGATGCCCAACGACCTCGCCGTGACGTGTCGCAGTCTATCCCTGTGACTGTACTGTTCAGTCATCGTGGAAAAGCGTGACAACACAAGGGCGTGAAAACAAGGGGACTGCTTTCGCTCTGCGTGGTTCTTCTACGTCCTCGTGTTTTCAGGCTGTCTCCAAGATGAATTCCCTCCAGCTCGTCCGGCAGTTCATTCTTCTAAGTACAGTAGATTAACACAAAACTGCTCAAATTGTTTTTTTTTTCCTTTCCTCATCGGTGCGATTTCTGGCGCACTTCATGGTGCACTTTACGAAGAAGCCGTAACTCTACGCAACCCATTCATCTACTCTAAGCTCTTCAATAAAATGTAAGCTTTGCGTTTTTGTACAACTAACGACAAACTTTATCGTGCGATCGCGAGACACGTGCCTCGTACGAGGGACTGCTCCGACGCCATTCGCATCTAAGGGCCTCTCAATTACTGCTTCGCCGCCATTTATTTTAAGGACATCACGAGAAACGAGCCTTGTGCATTGGCGCAGTTGACGCTCTTTGTAAGGCAAACACACAAGAAAAAAACTTTCAACCTTTTTACACTGGTGAAGGAAGACCAGCGAAGCTGTACTATGGTGGGAATGAAGTAATGGCCGGCCGCAAGTCGGCAAGTCAGAGTGGAAAGTCTGGAAAAGTTGCCGCCGTCGCTCATAGATGGCGGTAGCTGTTTAAAATTTTGTGTCATCATTTGTTTCCTGGCGGACACGATGCTGGGGAAACTAGCCCTTAACAGCTCCGCTGTAAAACACCAAGAGGTTTCAATCTTCTCCGTTCCGCTATATGTCTTGATCCCGGGGTTATGGTGCCGGAGGTGCTGCGGTGCCAGGAACGGTGTCGCTGCGGTCGCATCTAGATTTGTGCTGCATCACATTTCTTGTGACCGTTACCTTTGCCACAATAGTGAAGGAAACGGACAATATTGTTTTACTACGCGACTTTCGAGTTGCAAGGCATAAGTCAGTCGCTTTTATGCCGTTTGTATATAACTGCCACCTGTATTGTTCTTGCAGAATTATATATCCTAGGAACATCACAATGGGCTTCGGCTACAACGTCAAGTATCTCTGTGTTCTTCACGTGGCAGATGAAACACATTTCGACATTACTTGGCATCACGGGGACTCCATGTTAACGAGCGATTCCAAGCGCACTGTGGAAGTGAAGCCTGACGGACCCCAAACCTTAATCAGTCATTTGGAAGTGCGTGACTTGAATGAAAACGACGCTGGAAGTTACAGTTGCTCTGCGATTGTTAAAGTTGGGGAGACAAAAGTAGTTCCGGACGTGGTGTACCTCAACCTCACAGGTACGTTCTTTCTGCCGTCTTCCGTAAATATGGCCCCATTAGCCTCCTCTAAACGAATTCTGCCATAATTTTATTTAAACCTAATATTAAGCATTAAAGGGCAAATTATTAGTCGTCTGAAAATTGAGTCCCAATTAAGCTTCCAGCGAAATCGACGCCTGTAGGGGTAACGCCGAGAAGCTCCGAAAGAAGGTCGTTTCGTCTCTGTCGTCTGCTGTCGCTGCCTGGTTCTTGTAGGCAGCATAGCTTCACTCGCTTGCTTGTGAAGCTGGCAAGCTCACCTAAAGGACCGCGTTTCATCGGTGACGCAACAAAATAAGGGATCAACAAGGATCTGGAAACACCTTAGTGGTGCAACATTATCCTCATCCGCCAATTAAAAAAAAAAAAAAAAAAACGGGGAAAGAAAACGCTATCACGAAGACACATTTGTGTGCGAAACCTGTAGAGAGATCTACCGAATGGACATATTTATAGAATAAAATTCCTTAAAAGTCAAGAAAGCGAAAAAAAAAACACAAACGAATGCTTAAAAACCGTCTGTTTCTGTTTGCATGTAAAGTAAAACAAATATGCATTTTAAATCATATGCATTTTAAATATCAGCCAATCCGAGTGTCATAAGACACGTTACGAGATTTGATTTACGCGGAAACCTTATTTTCGCGACTCACCTACCACTCGGAAAAGTGATAGTGCTAACAATTCAGTCAAAACGTGAACATTGAGCAAACAATATGGAAGCTTTGTTTAATATAACCTTAACTTTGCACAATCACGCATCTCTGGGAATTTCTCTCGGTTCCCTATCAATAATATTTTGAAAGCGTATGAAAGGCTCATTCACACTGTACCATTTTCTTACGTTAAGTTACGTTACGCATAAGTTACCGAAAACTTCGTGTCTCGAACGTCGCGTGTCGTGCTTTCTCCTTGAACTGGTAGCCTCGCTTAATTATGAAGCACAGAGGTCCCGGTGAATTGTGGCGTAAGCTTTCGTAACTTCACGTAACGTAATAAAATGGGGCTGTGTGAACCAGCCTAAATCCAGAACGCACGCCGACCTGAACAACTTTGTTCCACGCCTTGGTCGACATTATCTGTCAAAATGTAGTCGGACTGTGTTTAGCCTTCACGCTCTTCAGACTTTTGACACAGCTATCACAATCGAAATTTCACTTGCTAACGCGAAAAAAGAAGAAGGTATATATTCAATTTTGTATATTCGTATCACTGCCGATCCGGTGCAACCGGGGCTCGGTGGCCTCATCGCAACTAGGCGCAACGGCGCATTCGCAGCGCCACTCCTCCCCCAGGCGATGCGCGCCCATACGTGTTAGCATGCAGTACGAGGAGCAGACGACGCGGTAGGCTGGTGCACTTGTGGTGCTGGCCTCGCGCTTCGTAAAGCGATGTACACCGAATGCAAAAGGACAGGGCACCAGGGTATTGTTGTGCACTCCAATGCCACAGCATCCTGTTAAACCGAAAGGTAAATATGTGTCGCCCGAAACCTTTTCTTCTGTTCCTGGGAGGTGATACAAGTAAGACCGCCAGAAGCATGGATCACCAGTTGTGCGAAGGACACGGTAAATTTCTCTATCTTGTAGCATTAGCCAGTAGTGCAGCTACGTTTACTTGTCACGTTAATACGGACTTTTCGTAGATCACAAGCGAGAGTATGCGGGAGTTTTACGTTGCTTGGGGGAGCCGTCACTTCGTGGGCGAACTGAGCTCGCGTCCACAGGGCCCTTAACCCGCAGCTGACGTTCTACGAAAAGTCTCTAATGTAGTAGCTGTGATGCTTCCCTGTGGCTGTCGGCAAAAGAAACCCGAATATGCAGGTGCCATTTTTTAAACAACTTTAAATTTAAGAAGTAAGCTCACTTTGCTTACCCACCAATTTTGTTTACCGTTGCTTAGAAGAGAAAGCGAGTAAGCGGCAAAAGACTTGAGGGAAAATGAGGCAGATAATCGTAGCCCCATTTTCGTACTGAATTGAACGCGTAATTAAAAGGGAATTGTCGGTTGGTACTCTTGTTTTTTTTTTATTTGTTTTATATACCATTATAATGATGTAGTTAGCCCCCAACAGGTTTTTTTTTAGAGTTCCGAGGAACTCTAAAAATTAGACACTAGAACATACCTGGGTCGACGAATTAGAGCGTGTTGGCAATGTTATATATGTGAAATGAAAGGAACATAAAGGGGACCAGGGCAGGACATATCAAGTTAAATAAGGGAAAATGTAGGACAAATTCAAAATGAACTCCATTTTTTTCGCAGGGAGAAGAAATTATTATTGAGGATCCTTTTCAGGCGCAGGGTGTTCTAGATATGTAAAGTATAACTGCGCCTAAACATCAAACAAAACGAAAAGAAACACACACGTGCATGTAGTCACACGCCACTGTGTTCAAAATTATTATTCTGGTGTCACATAAGAAAAGTAACAAAAGAAAACAACAATACTGGCGCGAATGTAAGTCGATTGGCGAACACCCTTTTCCCTCATAAAAGTATGAGTGGGTTACGGATGCACGTGCGTGGATTATGATTTTTGCCGCTTTGGACGGCAGCGTACACGTGCGCAAACACAACAAGGTGTCGCGGCGTGTAATAAAAGCTTTTTGGTTTTAATTTCTTGTTTGAGCCGCTCAAAAGGCCTGGCAACAAAACAGATGAGCTGCAGCCGTATTCGCGTTCAGCTTCGTTTTTCTATACATCTTGACCCAATGTTGCCTTCCGGCAGTGCATGCCTCGTCATTAACTTCATTTGCAGGAATTAAAAGAGCCGCGGTATGCTTTCAGCAGGCAGTAAGTCCAACTTTCTAAGAGCACTTGCCCGAGCTCAAGCAGCGTGTGCGGCAGCGCAGCTGTGCGCGAAAGCCGATATGAACAATATATCACCCTCCTCTCTGTCGAAATAGCTCTGAATTTCAAGAGCGAGCGAAACCATAAATCAAAACAGCATTTATCTTAAGCCGGATGTCATAGGCGGCGCTCTCTCGTACTTGCAAGACGCGCTTCTCTGTCGACGAATGTTCTTACGCCAGGATTATCACCTCCACCCCGGAGACCTGACGCATAGGCAGCCTTTCGTTGCGGAGCTTCGCCTCCCTAAAAAAATAATCACAGTTTTCAACAGACAGAAAGCCAAAATAGTATAGCAAGACGGCCGCAGTAGACTTTTAACGTGTTTGTTGCCATTGCAACCGGACCCGTACAGCTATGAAGGGCGGTTTTGCTTCAGAGCGCGGCGCCACTAGTACCGCTCCGGCGCGCCCTCTGGGCAGTCGAGAAACCATTAAACTAGAACTTCTCAAGTTTTCTTGAGGGAGGGCTTGTGATGGTGCTAACATGTAGTTTGTGCCCTAAAATCACCGGTACTTGGGTGAAAAAGTTTACCAACGTGTTAAGGTCGAACGTGATCCTGTGGACGTTGATCGGAGCGATAGGACAAAGCCAACCCGAACCCTTCTCCGCACTTCGACGACCTTCCGAGGGATACAGTTGTTTCACACTTGGTTGTCACCCTTTGAATAGACTTGGGAAAGTTGAATACATTCCACCGCGTAATGTTTATTTAATAGTTCAATATTAATTTAGTTCTAGTTTCGGTGAAATTCGCGTATCAAGTTGGCAAAAAGAGATAAATTCGTTAATTTTTTTTTCTACCGTCTCAGTCTTGGGGGGTCGGGGGTCGGGGGGGGGGGGGGGGGGGGGGGGTGGGGGAGGAGGGGATCTAGGTTGTTCCGCGTGCTAAACGCTGACGTCAATTTTTTTTTTACCGGCATTTTGCAGGACAGGCGTGCCCCAGCATGGTTCGCTTGAGTCGCCAATAATCTATGGAGCAACGGTCTTCTGAAATGCAAGTGTGCGGAAAATAAAGAAAATTTCACTGAGAGAGGGCTCGTCAAACCAAGATACAGCAGAGATTAATTCTAGGCAAAACCGTACGATAGAAGTCTCAGAAGCTGGGCCGTCCCGCCCAATCACGCGAGTCAGCATCTGCTACATCAATCCTTTCCGAACTCTCCTACCCTGGGACCGGGATCCGTACAAAATGGTCCCGGACCATATGGTTCTGTACTGGCATCATTTTGTTTGGGACCATTTTGTCCTAGGCCCACAGCGACCCATCAAACATATAAAATATGAAATCACGACGCCCTCCCCTCCCCCCGACCCGCCATTGTGCGCGATGTGACAAGCTTGTCGATATAAGTGCATGCACAGTAATATACAAAATATATGGTAAATAAAATCTACCTGATAGTTCATATAGTGAAAGTGAATGTACTCAGCTAGCCCCCCCCCCCCCCCCCCCCTGCTTTACACACACAAAGAGCATACTGTCACGAATGACGAAAGTGAGCTTGCAACAAGACTGTTTGTACGAACGAGGTAACAATGCTACCAGAGAAAATTTCTTCGCTCTTATTGTTTTAGGTGCTTGAGCTGCTTAACGGAACCCCCCCCCCCCGCCCCCCCCCCACCTCCCCCCCCCCCCGTACACACACTAAACCTGTCGCAACTCCCCTTGATCTTCCGTCCCACAGTTTCTAAACCCCGCACTACATAAAAAATACTAGCGAGGTGATGTCGCGAGTGCTGGGATAAGAAGGTATTGCAGTCTCACGAGCTGATCTAATTAGTTGAAGAAAGGAGGTGACGACCAAGAGAGGGCTCTCATATAAGAGGCAAGATGGGGTTTACATAGAAAATACCTTGCCAGGTACACAAGCACAGCAAAGCAAAGTACGAGAAAAACTTGCTTACACGAAAAGGACGCCCGCAAAATAGATGACGAGCGCAGCGCTGTTGCCGAACGCGCGCGTGTAAATGATTAGGGAATCGACCCAGAGTGCACGCGTCGACGATAATTAGAAAAATTCGCCGCAGCGTATTTCCGAATATTGTACGTGATTCTCTAAAAAGGCTTAGTTCTTTTGTGCTTTTCCATTAGTCTACGTTAAAAGTTATGCCGTGCAAAAAAACAAAACAAAAAAAACGCTATTTAACAACAACACCAACACCACCAACAACAACGGCAACGATCTCAGCCCCCCCCCCCCCCCCCAAAAAAAACAATAAAAAACAGGCAAATTGATTACTGCTTCTAAGAAATAGATGTCGCTCTCCCAGAAAAAAAAAAAAAAAAAAAAAAAAAAAAAAACTAGGCTTCGAAATGTTGGGACTGATCACATTAAACTTTCTTCAATTATATTGTGCATAAAAAATGCAAGGAGGGAAAGTATGCAGGCGAGTTGGTTATGCAGTATTGCCATATAAATCCTGAGAGAAGGAAAAGGTTATCTAATATTTCGGGCCTTCTTGCCTCCGAATTTTGATTAGTATGACAAAAAATGTGTTTAGTTTCTTCTTCAACGTTCATAATTGACGATAGTTCAGAACGGTTGTTGCCTGTTGCCCTCACTGTTCCCTCTAACAGTGATGACGTCACATCTATGATAGCGGAGGTATACGGTAACGCTCTTGTCAATTACGACTTACCTAGAACAGTTCAGACAGCTTTCCGCGCCTTTACAGACTACAGGGCCGCCCACTGGAGCGAGCCGTGTCTGAACGACACCAGCTCTTGTGTGGACACAAACACCGGGTGCTTCTCCGTGAGCCCGCCCCTCAAGCATTCCCCGACGTCGTTCGCCTGCCAGTGCCAGAAGGACTTCCCCATTTACAACCGGGAAGGACGAAGGTGCGACAAAGGTCGGTGAGCCTTAAACGATTCTCGAGTATCCACGATTTTCTCAAAAGCGTCGTCTTCTGTCTTGGCTAGAGCCGCTAAACATGGTGCGCTTCAAAGTGACGGCACGTCTTGAGCCATCTTGGTGCTTGAAGTCATTGTTGCCAGTTATCCGAAGTTTTATCCTGAAAACGCGGGAAACGCAATAGACCCATAGAGTAATATACACAAGGTAAAGAGCGGACACTGCCATAGGCCCCAGCGGCCCAGATAGACCAGTGACAGGTAGCGCTCCTAGCGGGCGGTATTAATTATAATCTGATTCCGTTTCCGGTCAAGTTAGTTTCGGTTTCGGTTTGGGCGTTTCAGCTCCGGTTTCTTCGCTACCCCTTCTCTCTCTCTTTCCTCCCGCCTCGCTCGGCTCTCGGGAGCTCCTTGACTCCCAAGGCCGCTGTTTTTTTTTTTTTTTTTTTTTTTTTTCAAATACTGACGCACTTTTGCTTTATTTTTTTTACAATAGAGTCCGTACAAAATGTGTTAAACAATATTTCTACTTCACAAAGCAGAAGCTATGGCAGAAGTATATATATTTCTTGTTCTTTTTCTATTGTAAAGCATTGAAGTTACACAATCACCGCATTGACTCCTGGCTGGTGGAGCATTTTGGGGTCAATAACAGTAAGTGGTTCGAACACATTTTATTGGATCACATTCATGTATACATGATTTACTTCAGACGCTCTGTATGTTTTATACGAAAGAGATCGATACTCACAAAAATAAATGAATATGAAGGACTTCGGCATATCGTACGCTTCGTAAAAGATTTTTAGCGGAACCAAGTTAACAAAACCTTTCCACGGAGAACATGCTGTATGATACATTCACTTTCACGCCGACTCGGGTATGGGAAGTAAGTGCAAAAATAAATAAGACATCGCTATCATTACCAGTCATAAGAGTATAATAACAGTGCGAAGCACACGCCGGATAGTACAAACTCCTGATTTCCGGCAAATATAAAAACACCAATTTTGCATAGCCTCACACTCACTGCGGGCGAGCCATTACCAAACAATGAGAACTCTATTCGAAATCTGACAAGATTCAACGTCCCTAAACATTCCCCGAAATCGTTCAGAAAATAAATATGGCTTCAGAAAAAGCGGCTAAAAAACTATGGACAGTGGATACAAAAGTGGATACATTTTCTTTCAAATATTTTTAGCCTCTAGTCTATACACTATTTTCTATCGAAATTTTGTAGAAGGTGGAAAATATGTTTGTTAGGGAGCCGTGATACACATGCGCTGGAAAAAGGGGAAACAAATATTTGGAGAGCAAGTTGCACCGCCCACTTAATAAGCACTTTTTGTTTTTGGTTTGTCAACCGCCTCTGTTAATACACTATTGACAGTTAGACCTGTCTCGTTCTTACTAGCCACTGAAGAGTGCAACTGAACTTTGTCCAAATTCCGGTTAAGAAATCAAACATGTCAACAGAAGCGTATATTGCAAAACAATTTTAAAAACCCTTTCAGGTACTCCTCTGGCAAAGGCTAAAACCACCCAGACCTCAAAGTGTGCTATACAAGGCGGCACACACTCCTCGAACATGTGTCACACTCTCTATTATGGGAAGAAAGTGATTTTCTAGTTGCTGAATGAAATGAAAGGCAGCCTGTGATGGTACTACTAAGTTCCCGAAGAATTTTCCAGGCACGTGGTATGCTTTAGGAACAAGACAGTACTGGTGAGGCCTGGTTAAGTTATTATACTCATCCGATAGCAGCTGAGAACAGCCACAGCTGTAAGTTGTCTGTTCAAGCAAAAGCTTGATCAAATAGCCCCAAACGTAATAAAAAAGTGGACGAGTCATCAATTATGTTAGACCTGATGTCTGATGCCAGCTCAGAAATATCCTCTAGCGGCGGGAAGTTATCAATTGGAAGACATTCCACAATGTCTGAAATTAAACTTTCATGGTGCGAAGATATTTGCAACTCCTTTAGGAGGTCAGCCTTGTCATCCTCTACGTTTTCATTGTCCGACAGTTTGAACAGTTTCTTTATCCAGAGGTGTTTTAGTCCTGAGGCGAACTGACGCACATTTGGGTTTGTGGTGCAGCCCAGCATTTGTCGTATATAGCTCCAAAAACTTTCTCAAGTGTGTCTTGCTGCAGGCGTCCTGTAAGTAAGAACTTAAAGTCATGGCTGCTTGAAAGCTCATCCCAGAGCATGAGGACACTTTTCATTGTAACTTGCCACCGAATGATGGCTTATGGCTGCCTCCTACTTTGGAACTGCCATGCTGAAATCCATCCGAGTTACTGGTGAAGAAAATCAAGTATTTCAGATTCTCCCTTCAGAATGGCATGACGCAACTTCTGCCCTGTCTTCTTGAATTTTTTAGCTATTTAGACAGTCAAAAGGTATGCACATCCTATCACAGAAATAGGCTAGCCATGGCTGCCTCAGGAAGTTCCTTGGCATAAACAAGGGATATGATTGCAAGAAAGAGTGAGGCACTCAGTACCTGTGGGGCACAATTTTCTTCCATTTTACAGAAAGGTTCTTGAAAACATGTGTCTCTCAGTAAGCTTCGGAGCCAACTGCAAGCTCATCTCATGGATAGAACAATAAAGTTCAACAATAGAAGACCACTCAAAGACCAAATTTCCAATAGAAAGTTTGTGGGCTTGGAGATTGCTCTTGGTTGTTTTGGGAAGGTGCGGAACATCAAAGACAAAGTAAACGTGTTCATTGTCAACTTCAAAAAGTGATTTATCACCACACACATAAAGCTTACGTTTGAAGCCCCCTAACCACAGACCACAGCCTTTACTGTGAAGCCAACAGTCTTAAAGGGGCGATGCACTGATATTTGTATTTTGCGCAAATACCGCTTAGAACGAATCCCTGACGTTAATGATCTGTGAAATACCCGTTCGTTTTCACCACACGCAATCGAAGTCGAAGAAAAACGAGCAGAGTTCACCCTTTCAACTCGCAGCCAGAACAAGCGGCCCCGTGATCTGGAGCCGATTATATACCGCCAATGTTGATCATAGCCATGCGCTGGGGTTGGCAAGGCACAGGACACGCGCTGAGTTCCAAACATTGTTATGGTTCGGCTGTTGTCGTCATTGCAGCGATTGGTCACAGGACACTACCCGAATGTTTCTCGAGCTATCGATTATCACGAGCCCAAATCGAGTGTCCACGCCATGCTCGGGTCCAATCTATGAGCCGTATTCAAATATTGTCACTGGGCGGTACTGCTACCGCCCAGCTACGTCATCAGGTTTTTCGAAGGAGAGATTGAATGAAAACACTCGGTTTTGTCCTCGAAATTACAGCGCAACAAAGGAGTTTCTTGGTCAGTGGCGTTGCGTGCGAGTATCATTGAGTCCCACTAGAGCCAGTAAGCTCGTGTAAAGTGAAAAACATTCCAATTGAATATCTTTGCACCGCCCTTTAAGCTCCCGAATGAGAGAAATGAGGAGACTGCGTTAAACAGAAGACGTTGTTGGAGTGTGCACAACAGTGTATGCAAGGGGCTAAACGCACCTCCTGGAAATTTCAGACAGCATAACAACCAAGGCTCTATCTGCAATGTTAGAGGTTCGTTCAACAGCGTCATCTGTAAACCCATGGACAATGTCGTGTGCAGGGTCGTAAGGTAAATTCTTTTTTTAAAACAATCTCATCGAAAGTCAACATGCACAGACGTTCAAGTGCAGCCAGACAGCCCGGCAGAAACAACAGCGCGAGAAGCTCGAACCGATCGGCTAAACGAATTCACGCCAAGCATGCGAGCACGCGGGCGGTCATGCGTCACCTTGATTGATGCAAAGTCGACCGAACATGATGCAGCAGAAAGCACAGATGGACGGCACGCACGGCACAGACGAACGACGCAGGGACGAGCAGAGGCATTGCAGAATGATGCAGAGGCGACGGCGTGCAGGCAGGCAGGCTATGACAGGCGCCATTCATCACGTGGTTTTTGTGACGTATTTGATTTAAACTATTCAGTCGTTTTAAGTACTTTAAACAATTTTAAAGCATTGCCATTTAAAAAATAAATACTTTTCACAGAAAGAGTTTTAATTAATTTTAACCAAATTGCAGAAAGCGCCACGTAGCGGAGGGTATTAAACGCACTATCTGGGCCGCGAATTGGCTCCTGTGTCCTCTCTTTACGTTTACTATATTGCTCTATGATAGACCCCTTTCGAAAACCCCACCAGGCAATACTGGCGATCAGCACACTCTAAGGAATGCCTGCACGTCTACTTACCCGCAAAACACTCGAAGAGCAAATCTCTGCGACCTACGAAATCAGCTCAGCAAATGATGAGGCGGAATATTTGTTTGGACCCTAAAAATTAAACTACAGAAGCGCAAAAAATACAAGGACGAGGAAGTAAACAGAAACGAGTGCTTTGACATTACGCTATGGCATTACGCTGTGACATTACGCAATGCAAGCACGACACTTTGCATTGCGCAATGCCATAGCGCAGAGTTAATTATGAGGTCTAAAGAGATGTTCTGCCTCATCATTCGCTGAGATGATTTCCTAGATCGCAATGACTGGCTCTTTGAGTGTTTTGCGGGTAAGCTAGACGCGCAAGCGTTTCTTAGAGCGCATTTTTCGGACCCGAAGTCTGTGATTGGTTCCGAGTTCACGCCGAGCACTGACGGGCACTCGCCTTCAATCAGAGCTGGACCGAGCCCAACCCGATCCCTGACGTATCCTCGTGTCCAAAAGGCCTGTGTCTCTCAAGTTTAAAGCAGCGCCGTCGCGAGAAAAATGTAATATGTTTAGGTCGCGTTTTGATAGCGCGTTCTTAGGCCCTCTCACATTGCTGAAATGTGCTACGGAAGAAAACATATACGAAGCAGCTGAAAGGAATGCATTTTTTTTATCTTCGCCAGGACGCGAAAGCCACACGCTGTACATATTTTTTTTGTTGTTTATATTAGTTTTTTTACGTGGATGGACAAAAGATGACAGACGCTAGCATTTGAACGTGGCTCGCAAATAATCAAACGCTACTACAACGCTGCCTTTATGGTCGCGTCTCGCGGAAGTCGAAGCCAACATTACGTGGTCGCACTGACGCGCGGGCCCCCTGGCCGAGTGTGACAGTACTTTACGTGCTATACGTGATAAAACTATGGCGTGCTCTGATAATACACCTATACTGGTTAATTTCGCAAGCATCAAAAAGAATGCTTGGAATGTAATTCTACACGCCGCACGCGCTCGTCTACCCCTTATAAAATATAACGAGTTAACGACCAAAATAAGCATAAATGATAACGCACGCATTAAGCACGCACGAAGCATCCTGTACTCCCTAAGCTTATCAGAATTATCAAAATGACATTACGTTTTTTTCTGTCAAATGATCACAAAACTGGGCGAAGAACAAGCGTAGAAACTTCCTTTCATAACGACATAGTTTTTTTCAGGCACTCCATAGTGATGGGTTTTTGGAGAAACTCAATTCTTACGTCACACCACTGCGGTGGCGCTGCATTCGGCGCTCGAATGCGCAGACGACTGTGCATTAATATACAGAGAGATAATCGTTTCAGGCGCTTCGTCTGCTGCGCGACGTTTGGCGTATCTACCTAGGATACACTGCCGTGAAAATGTCGAGAGGCGCGAAACTGCTACGTCTCACCTTTTTGCATAATTCTAAACAAAAAAATTCCGTCGTTTTTGTTTCTTGCTTCTAGTTTCGGAATTGGGCGATATAATTGCGAAAACTGATTGCTGAATAGTTCGAAGACCATCGACATTTAGAAAACTGTCTAAATCTATCGGCAAATACCATTGAGCGGCATGCCCAATGGTATTTGCCGTCAACACTACATTTACAGCAGGATCCATAAAAATAATAATTGGAGCGTTACTTCAAAACTTTTTGTCAATTGAACGACTTGTCATGACATTTGTTCTCTCCCGGCCGAACCTAGTAAATACATGGTGAAGACTGCGCCCATGTAATTCCCACCCCTGCTCTTTTTCAATACGTTCGAATCACTCGTAATCTTTAACAAGATAAACGCACGTCCTTTGACTCGTAAATTTTATTAGGGAGCATTGGCCGTTCTTTGACAGCTTTAATTTTGCTACGTTTAAGCTCATATTTTTTCACATCGCGTATTTATATCTGCGATACTGTGCTTTCTACAATTTCTAAGGTAGGCTGGAAGGGAGCGCCGAAAGACAGGGACAAAAGAAGTAGGTAACGACGACACGTGGCGCGTGTCGTCGTTACCTACTTCTTTTGTCCCTGTCGTTACCTACTTTGTCCCTGTCGTTACCTACTTCTTTTGTCCCTGTCTTTCGGCGCTCCCTTCCAGTCATGAACAACCAACTAGCCCAACTTAACATTCTGTTCTAAGGTAGGGCTCTGTTTGATGTCCTGGTTCATCACTAGGCAGTCTTGCTGTTGGTTTGGAATCCGCTATATTGCAATAATAAATACATAAATAGCACACCCTACTGAATATTGTTTCTCTTTACTGTACTTCCACTTTTTGTATAAATAAACTGTCGGCTAAATTTTGGGTTGCCAAATGTAAATATTCTATGAGCCTGAACCATATGCACTTACTCTTTTGTCTTTAAATTCAGGATCCCGTTTGGGCGAGCCGTGTGAGATACATCATCAATGCACTTGGTTTACGGACTACTCCGAGTGTGCCTCGGAGACATGTCAATGTGTTGATGGATTCAAGGCCAATCTCGTGGGTACAAAATGCACAAATGGTGAGTCCAAGGAGTATGAATTGATATTGGTAGAACCACTGTATTATTAAGCTCAGGGGAACCACTAGCACGTCTTGGCAATAGACAACTTGCAATGAAAACATGGGCAGCGTTTTTCCTCCTCGCATGTCATCAATAGAGAGCCTGAATTTAAGAGAGGGAGCAACTCAAACGACGGAGATCGTTTTCAATTTAATGGCGGATGTCTGCTGTTCATAGTGGGTGAGTGTGCGCATGCCTGCGTTGTCCTGCGGTAAACGAAAAGCGAGCGGAGGAATTCCGAGAGACTCTTGCAGATAATTGATGCTTTGAAGACGATTGACGTTTTCGCCTCGTCTTCAGAGCTTGTATGGCAAACAGTTGTTAGCGATTGAAGCTTTTGCCTCCTCGATGGATGGATAGATGGACGTCAATGGCTACACCCTTTGTAACGGGCGGTCGCTTGCGTCACCTAGCCTAAGTCTAAGCCTCTCCGCAACTTGTATCGCAAACGCGGCTCGCAAACCACGTGACCCCGATCGAGCAGTCAGAAACACTCTCAAATTTTGGCACCACCTAAACGGCGCCCACGTCGCTGCAGGCACGGAGCCCTTTATACTGAGAGAGTTTGGCAAATGGGCGGTGCTTGTTGCCCGCTAGAACCAGCGGATTTCGCGATAACACAAAGTGGCGTTACTTCTTTGTCTTGGTTATTCCTGAGAAATCGCGTGGAGTTCCTATGAGTTGAGTCAAATCCACAAAGCGGCGGACGGAAGTAGTCATCCCCCGAATGTCAGACTGCACTGCTGTGGTTGCCAGGCCGTCAAAATCTCCTTAAGAAGGCCAAACTTCCTCAGTATAAACTGCTCTGTGCAGGCGCGTCTCGCAGCGTATCAAAGCGTGTGCAACGCCAGAGTACACTCACTCTGTCTCTTCTCTACATTTTTTCGTCAAGTTGTTTGCCTTTAACTCTGCGAGTAAAGAAGTGCTGAACTTTTTTTTATGCAACGGTAACTAATAAGAATGTTTCAAGTGTTAGTTGAGTACAAACGTATTTCGTAAATAAACTGTAAAATATACCACAAAACGTACTTTTTGTTACAAATTTCTGCATAAGTAAGAATAATTAGCAAATTCATAATTTTAGAGTTTACGTGAAAAATACACAAAAAAATATTGATCACGGATAAGTACTGGCACCTATAACCTATGCAATGCAAGCACATAACAGTATTTGTCTTCTTTAGTATCAAAAACAGTTTATTGCGAGAGTAGACTTAGACTGTGCAATTTCATTCCCGACAACGACACGAATTAAAATACCAGTGTACGTCTCCTCTTTTAATTAACATATCAATTGCGCCGAATCAAGAGCAGCGCACTAAAACTAAGCTATACTCTGTGCGAAGCGTTTGTTCAGTAAACAGACATCTGTGTCAGTGTTCTTCCGAGCTCTTCGTGCACTTTGTTCATCTAGAGACATGGCGAATTAAATTTTTTAAGCGAGCTTCAGCAGATCTTAAGGTCGAAATTGCTGCACAAACAACGGAAAATCAAAAGCACCATTCTAGTCCTACGAAACCGCCTTCCGTCAAGCGGTGCGTGAAAGCTCAACAAAAACTCTTTGTGTGCATCACGCTCGAATACCATACTTCGGTTCACTTTACGGTGCACCGCAGCGGACGCTACCGGCCATCTTAGGCAATTGAGCGCTGCACGCGTAACACGTGACTTCAGGCGCCGCGGGCCGCTCCACCGAACCGGGAGATCACGTGATACTCTACGAGCTATGGATTGTGTTACTCCGGTGGCTCGCAACTTCCGCTTCGGTGCGTTGTAAAGTAAAACGGAAATGTAACGTGTTTTTTTTTTTTAATTTAGCTTTGTTTGCTGTTGGCTCGTAGCACAGGAGCGTCATAAAGATTGCAGGCGTGGTGGATTGTTCTTGCCTGCGGAAATTTTGTAACGGTCACGTCTTCGTACAGGGGTAATGCTTGGGGTTTGTTCCTCGTTTGTTGTTCGTGTTCCACACTCTAAAAAAAAGCCCGTGAGTCTGCTTTCCCGCACAACACTCGGAGAGCCAATCACCGCAACTTACGGAGGCTGCTCAGCGAATGACAATGCGGAAACATATGCTTAGACCAAAAAACGCAGTCTGAGTTGTGACATCAAGCAATGCAAGCGCGACGTTTTGCATTGCTTAATGTCACAACTCAGACTGCGTTTATTGGTCTAAACGTATGTTTCGGCATCGTCATTCTCTGAGCTGCCTCCGTAAGTTGCGGTGATAGGCTCTCCAAGTGCTGTGTGTGAAAGTAGACGCACAATTTTTTTTAGAGCACAAGCTCACGTTCGTCAGTTTGTATTAGCTTCAATTTTTGACTTACAAAAAAGTGGTGCTACTTTTAGTGATTTCAGATAATCATCAATGCCACTTGAGCCTCGTCTAAGAAAGCCTTAGTTGTGGACCGCCGAAGGACCAGCTATATTGCTATCAAAAAGTTTTCTTGGTCATATAATTATCAATTGCACCATTAGATATGGTTGAGCACGCATTTTATGAAGTTATACCAAGTAAACATTCAATACTTCTGCCGCAGAATCATTCATCGACTACACGTGCACATTTGACTGGGAGTGCGGAGACACAGGCATGGTATGTCTTGACGGAGCATGCCGCTATAAAGTCGGTGAGTTTTTATTCTCAAAATGCAGAGAAAAGTGGGACAATTTTGTTTTAGTTTTTAACGTTATACCATACTTAAAAGTATATCCTAATACCTGCCTCGTGAAAAAATTTAGAACAGCTTGTCATATGCTTTTATTTTATCAACTCTAAAATGATGATTCCTGATAGGTATCTTTTCTTTGAACGCACAATTCGAGGTTACCCGAGGCAGTGGCCCGGTTTTTCAATTACGCCGGCAGATGATAGTCCAGTGGCATTTAACGATTCAGACTTAAACTCGGATTGTGTGTGGATTTACATTCTTAGATGATATATAGGCAGGGTGTTTCTGTGACGATTTTCCAAAACTCCTAAGGGAGTTAGAGAAGAAAGCTACTCTTTCTGGGAACAAAATGACAGCCACGGCGGGCGTTAGAGTCCGAGAAACGTACTAACTAGCCAAATATCTGCCTGCAATTTACTAATTAGCTTTTTTCATTATAAAATAAACATATCGATCAAATAATAAGCCTTCCGAACGTCATCATAAACCCTAAATCGGTCAAGTTTAGGACGACTTGAAGGACGTGGAAAGCGCGGAGGTGCGCCAAAAGTTACCACTCGCCCAGAATGCAGAAGACCAGCGACCCATCTAATAAGAACATCATCCGCATTTTCACATCGTCGACCTTGCGACTTCTGCGCGAGTCGGAAGGTTAGCACACCCGTACACTTTCCACGTGATTCAAGCCTTCCTAAAATTAACTGATATAGAAGTTTTTTTACTACGTCCAACAAGTTTTCTAACTGAAAAAAAGTTTTATTTTCACTAACAGAAAAGCTTATTTAGTGAAGTTCATGCACGCATTGCGAAACTTAGTGTGTTTTTGCAATCGCTGACATCTACCGTGGCTTAAAGTTGAATCCCGAAAACAGTCTCATTTCGTCCTCAAACACTATTTTTAGGTATGTCTGATCTTCTGCAGAAGCACCCGGTATACAGGGTCTTTCTCAAAATACGAGTCAAAACATCATTGAAAACCACTAAGTTAACTCTTTTTTGGAAATATATTCGGTATGATAGAGCATATTACGACGTTCCGAAAATGACAACCAGACGTTAATTGCCTTGTAGCGAACGATGAAAGTCTATTTTACTTCGCGAATAGTGCTCATGTATTCGTGTAATCATTTGCAATTTTTTTTGTTCATGAACAGTTCATGCCTTGCTAGTGATGCAAAACAGGTAGATTAAAGCTCAATAGAAAACAACTTAGACGCAACACGCCTTGAGTTAAAAATGTTATTTTTTAAATCTCCTTTTACAGAGTTAGTTCCACATGGGTACAGCTGGACCCTTTCGAAACTACACTATAAATACTAGGAAAAGGTATTACGACTACATATACCATAAAAAGTGGTGTGGAACAAACTTACTCTGATAAGTCTAGCATATGGCGAAAATATTATTACACGTTAAAAACTTTCTTTGTTCTATTTTTTTATGTATTTTCAATTATCAAAATCGTATGCACACGTTTTTTCAAGAAAAAAAAATCATATACAGCACTTTGATTTTCAAGTAATAAAAATTGCAATATTTTTATATATTTTGAATTCGATCCAAAAATACGGTTTGTGTAGGCTTGTCTTGTGACAAACAAAGAACAGATAAAGTAGGACATCGGCTCAAACACACTAAATATCTTGATTTTAGACATGTGAATAAAAACACCTTGTAGTTTTTTTATATGATTATCTTAAAAACCGAGATTTTCTCTTTAAAATGTTTTAGCATATGAGTTCATTTTATAGAATAACCTCCATGTTAAATTTAAGTTTTGAGCGCCAGAGAGTGAACCGTGAGGTTGTTAGGGGCACACAGAATAAAGCCCATTATTGTTTTTAATATTATATTATATAAAAATAAGAATGATCGTTATTATTATAATAGTACACTCGGAATATGTGGCTCACACGTGCGTAAAAGAAAGCAGACTAAAATATTATTTTGTACACACATAGCTGTCATCCAGCGCGAATAGGGCGTTCGGTTTGGTTGTCCTAATGTACGTGAAGAAAACATACATTGATCTCAAGTGGAAACGGCATATAGAGAAAATATGGTAAGGGTGCAGCGAGCTGGTGAATATTAACCACGTTGAATTATCCTGAGACTGGGGTAGAGTAGAAACAAAATGTTTTCATGTTTTTTCTCTACCCCAGTCTCAGGTTAATTCACCATGAAAAACGGTATGTTTAAGCGTACGTCTCGAAGGCGTTGAGAATGTACAGTCTCCGGCGATATGAAAGACCCACTGGGAGCGCGTGGCCGAGGCAGTGGCTGGCGGGGGCGCTACGAGCGCTCTGGGCAATTCCATTCTGCTTCGAGGGGAGGACGCTCACTCGGGGCTCAGCACAAACTGATAAGCGCGCGCTTTAGCTGAGCCCCGAGTGAGCGTCCTCCCCTCGAAGCAGAACGGAACTGCCCGGAGCGCTCGCAGCGCCCCCGCCAGCCACCGCCTCGGCCACGCGCTCCCAGTGGGTCTTTCATATCGCCGGAGACTGTACCCATCATATTCCAGGCACAAGGCACATGAAAGTAAAATCCTCCTCGACATGTAACACGTGGTGTCTGTGTGCGTTTTTTTTTTTTTTCTCGACAGTTGGCGAGTCATACATGATGGGGAAAACAGCTAAGGAAATGCGGACTCCGACAAAGAACAAACACGACAGGACAGCATTGTTTTGTCCTGTTGGTTCTTTTTCGTAATCCGATTTTCCTGTGCTGTTTTCCCGGTCATGCATAACGTCAACCAACTGGTCCGGTTCACCACCTTATTAGGGTTGGCTAGTTGTTGACTGGCATGTAGCACGCAGTTCGGGGTCATTTTTAAGATTGAGACTAATAGGAGGTGTTGCGAACATTAAATATTGCGATATATTCCTAGTGATGTACTCGCTTCTTTCCAAGTATATGCGAGTACTTCGGTGTGGTGATTGACCGCCGTTCCCCTCCCACATTTTTTTATTGTTTAAGCTACATAAAATGACAGAATGCTTTTAGTCTCTCCTTTATTCATTTTTATGTTTAGAAAATACGCGTGTGCTTGAAGAAAATGTTACAAAATAAAATAAGAAAGGAATTGTGAATATGTTCTTCCATTTGAGCACATATCCTAGATCATCCCTCCAGCGACGCGAAGTGTCTCTGGAAGGATGGTAGTTTATATCAGAAATAAGATAAAACTAAAAGCGACCAAATTACTTTCACTATATTTTGACTTAAATAGTTCCCGTACAAAGTAAAGAAAAAGGCGTATAAAGTACCGTTCAGACAATATTTTTTATTCAGTCTTGATTTAATGATGTAACATGAATGCGCAGGTTGCGGGTCGAATGCGGTTACAAATATTGCTAATGCGGTATGAATGCCGCGACGACGACTGCGGATGCGGATCGGATGCAGATGATTTAACTGTTACCTGCGCAGGCCTCTATTTATAAATATTGTCCGCAGTTGCTCTATTGTAATGCATATAATCTAACATATATATTCCAGCTAAAAGTCTTTTCTCAAGCAATCACAAGTCATGCCATAGAAACGAATGGAAAAAATGAAACGTATCTGACCGCTTCAGCCTCTGAAATCGACGAGGAAACGCGTCTTGATTATATAAACTGCTTATTTATAATAAGATATTTACTTCTTCCAGTTGTACGCATCTTTGCGCCCAGGAACAAATTTGATGACTGATATGTTTTGCACTTTTTATGTTTCTCACAGCTATTTCAGGAGGACAAATTGCTTTACTGACCTTATTGTCACTGATTGGCTTCCTCCTGCTTATTTACCTGTGTGTTCTCTGCGTTCGGTGCTTCAGGTAAGATATCCCCACCAATTAAACTACTCGTTTCATTTTAATTGCACTGCTACAAGAAAGTTTGAAATTGTTCTCGCAATATTTAAAATTAAGAAAACTTTAAAATTTAAACATCTCTATCTTAATTCCCATTTATAAAATTAAAAAAAAAAACTTCCCATATTTGGTTTGAATAAACTACGGTGCGAAGGATTACAAATAACGACACTGAGAACAGAAAGGTAACACGACATACACACAAATAAAAACAAACTAAGAACTACTTATTAAAAAAAAATGAGTCGTTGGACGTTTATGCAACAGGCGTTTTGTCTGCCAGAGCATGGCGACATGGTTACCAACTGTAGATGAGCAATTTAGCCAGTGCAGTACGACTGCTAGCCTGGAATCTTTAACGTGCACCACGCAGTGGGGATACACGATCGCACACCAGTAATGAGCATCGTACCGGCATGCGGTTGTGTATCACTACTACGTGGTGCACGTTAAAGTCCCCACGCTAGTGGTTGTGCTGCACTGACTAAATTGCTTATCTACAGCTGAGACACCAGACGCCCACTGAAGCAGACGAACTTCCATCTGCATAGACATTCACACACTCTATTTTGTAATTCGCGCCCTCTTTTTAGCTTCAGTGATGTTATTGTAATTCTTCGCAGCGCAGTTGAATCGAAGTATGAAAAACTAACTTTCCCAGTTCCAAGCACTGGCCCCATATTTCATTTTTGTCCAGGCATTATTTACAATATTAATTCACGTCCTGAAGTAATTTACAATCAATTTATATGATCAGAAATGGCTCAGAGACGATATTCACCGCAACTGTCTTATATATTTGTTAATGTGTACAGCTCCAACGGAAAAAGAGTAGCACAAGTGACAGATGACCGGAGCGGCAAAATCGCGACACGCGGTGCTCTTGTTCCCAAGCGTGCCGATGGCGAGAGTGCCAGTCAGGTTGCATGTCTCAACGCGGGGGTGGCCGGCAGAAAATTGAGAGATAAGATAGCTGTTAAAATGAGGGCTTTAGGATGGGCTGTTTTTTGCCGGCCACCCCTCCGTTAAGACATGGAACGTGACTGGCACTCTCGCTATCGGCGCGCTCGGGAACAATAGCGCCGCGTGTCGCGATTTTGCCGCTCCGGTCGTCGGTCACTAGTGCTACTCTTTTTCCGTTGCAGCTGTACGTCATTCGGTATAAAGATGTGGGACATTCTAGTATACTTCCATTTTGCACAACTTCTTTGGAAGACGTATATGAACCATCAGTAAAAAAGTCTGAAGCCAAGCGCCATTGGACTAATCTATACACTCATTACGTGGGTTTGTCGATTTGTAAGCAAGACTGCTTTGTCAGGCACTGTTAGAGTGACCTTATTAAGAAAACCATGTGCATTAAAGACATTCTTTTTATTTCACTGCATCACCTAATTGATTCGATCCACGTATTCTTATGTATGCATTTTTGTGTAATGTGTACATCGTACGAAAACGCACAATGAAGACTATGTAGTCAGTCATTGAATGAATGAATGAATGAATTAATGAATAAATAGATACTTGAATAACTATTACGCTGATGTAAAATTTCCCTTATGATTAATTCATTCGTTGGCGCGAACTGCGTGTAAATTAGTTTATTGTTTATGAAGCACTAAACCTTTGGACTTAGAGCATTAACGTCGTAGGGACGCACTGCTAGTGATTTCACAAATGTTACACCCATAAGCTATCCAGAAATATAATACAGCCTCTACCAATATTTCAAGCTCTCGAGATTTCAATGTGTGGTGTCACTTCGCGAATTCAATCACGATGAACAAAAGACACTCCCAAAACAACTTTCAGCTGGAAGTAGTGACAACACTGAAGGACAATTCCAAACATCCAATAAGCAGCCCCCGCTACCATGGTATATCGTGATGTAAAAGCGATCATCTGAAGGCGAACGCTCCCACAATCTACCTTTCTTGAACAAGCGTGCACTACAGATACGGCGTTAACCTTTGATTGTTGATTCGTTCTATATTGACGCCTCGGCATCCGACACATGACCACAAATACGTACAAAATATTATTTATTTAAGACACCCCGTGTATTTTAAATCCCTGACTAATAAATAAACCTTTTTTCTTTAAAGATGTTTCCCGCTTCGAAATTTTTCTTTAGCGTTATGCACCATTACATGTTTTTACATAAACTAACCGCTCTTTATATTTTAATGGCACATGCTCAGTTTTGCATATAGCATTTGTTCAGAAGTTGTAAGACGTACAGAGTTTGAAGGGCGGAGTTCATCTGCATGTTTGCGTACTACCAGGGAGCGTGTGTGTATAAATGAACGAGCCAGATCAAACCAACACTCACGATAGCGGGTGGTTTTTACGCAATCATGAGGCACCCTGAATGTCTTCTGCGTGTAAGTTTCGGGGTTGCAATAACCAATTATTGCAACACCGAAACCAAGTACACCAAAACAAGACAAAAATCGAAAAAGATACTTTGAAAGTGTGTTTCATTTATTGTTCTTGTTTCAGGCAAAGGAAGTCATCAAAACGTCACCACGAGCCAGAGATATTTATTGTTCCAATGAACAGCTGAGATCGTCCAAGAGGGTTGTTTTTGGTTTTAGAAGATGTGCATACCAGAGTCATGTATATAGAAATGAAAATATTGATTGCATAATTCATACCCACAAACCAGCTTTGTAAATACATTAATTCGTGTGAATAAAACGTTTTACACATTTAAGTTGGTAGTTTGTTTTTTAATTATTTAAGTGAAGGCGTTATGAGGGATTGTGCGTCAAATTTTTCGTAATAAAAGATAAACCGTTACTGCGCCTGCGCGCCGATGGCCTTGACTGTAGAGTTCCGGGTATCGTAGCGGGTTCCTGAGGGCGCTGCGGGACGGCGAAAACGATCGACGAAAACTCCCTATTGAGCACAGGGGTGCTATTCTGGTCGCAAACGGGTACCTTTCGAGTTGTGACGTATCGAGAAAGAAGGGGCGGAGCCTCAAACTAGAATGATTCTTGTTTGAGGCTCCGCCCCAACGTTCGGGTTCACGCACGCGGTCAGCTAGAATCTGACGATGCCCTACGTCGCGGTGACGTGTCCACCCAGTTGGGGCGAAGAAATCCCTGCATTTCCCCCTGTTCTTTTTTATATCTTCTTCCTTTCCTCCAGGACTTAGAATGAGCGAATAACGGAGAAAAGGCTACCTTCCGGAAAATGGAAGGAAACAGAGAAAAATAATATTATCCTTTTATAAAATACGAATGATTATTTCATTAATTATGACGTAAAGTAAATTTAGCTAAGATATCTCAGCTTTTTTTCTCGAAGTCTTTCGCTACGGTCTTTGAAAACAAACATGGCGAAAGCCGCGGTAACGACCTTGTGGTGTTTGTGTCTCGCTTGCGTGGTTGCTTTCCCTGTTTCTGCACGATACGGATGGCATTACGATAAGAAAAATTATGTGAAGGTACGCTGCGACACCGACCATCCTTTGTGAAGCCGTCGTGAACATAAGCTGCAAATGAAATTTCCTGTTCGCCTGTGAAGGAGACTCCAAATGGATACAGAGCTGACGACGACTCTGTGGTAGTATATGACAAGTCATGAGATCGACGCAGAGTGCAACGGTTGTGAGCATTCTCTGGATGATGCAGGAAAGTTTCTTCGGGCAGTTTTAATAATGCTTTGCTCCTTTGCTCACTGCAGTGATTATGCCGGTATAGTCTCCATAAGCCATGCTCTTCTCTTTCGGCGCTGAAGAAATGCACGCGACGGCATAATCTCGGGCAGTCTTTTTTACTTATTTTTATTTGCAGAAGAGCTCGTGCAAAAAAAAAAAAACGGCTTTTGCGTTTTTACACGTCCCTACATAGGTACCTCTAGAAGGCACCCTAGGTACCTCGCTTTCCCATTGGCTTCATTGCGCGTGACGATTCAACGTCATTTGCCATGGAAACGTTCGTGAAACTAGAAAGCCTCTGTTTGCCGCTAACAGTCATTTTTCGAGTTCGGGTTGTGACGACAAAATGACGTAAGAACAAGAATGCACGGGACTATTTGCATTGTTTTAACTCGACAACCGTACCCTTGGCGAGTTAAACTCGAGAGAACATGGCCGCGATGCTCGTCGGATCGACCGCGGCTGGGGTTTGACATGCGATCGGTCACTTGATCAACGCGCACACGAATACTTTCGTGCTGTTGGATGAGCCCATTCGGCGACAGGACCGGGTCGAAGAGCACAGTGAGCTGGCGTTTAACGTCTTCGATGTAACGCTTGAAGAGATGCAAGACTTGGCTTCTATTTGTGCCGGTGTTATGAAGCTTGAAAGTGGTGGTGTTGTTGTGGCTCGTACGGTACCGTTGCTGAGATTATGAAGACGGTAATAGACCTTTATTCAGCGTTGCCGTGCATTAAAATTCAAAGCCTCACCTTGGCACAAAGGGAACGACGTTTCCGCGAGCACGGAGGCAGCAGCCAACGGTCTGAGAAGGAATTGTGCCGCCGCCACGACCGCCAGCGATCGCCCCAACGGCAAGAAAACAAACGACAAGCTTATTGAGGTTTGTGTAGTGCTGACTACTGATTCATCGGACGACAAAGGTGAATGATGTAAAACGCAACGTAAGTTTGCCAGCGTTTTGCAAAACGAATTCGTTTCGTTGAAAATTTAATTTGTGGAATTCGTTAACGCCTTGAAAGTTTGACGGGGACCGCATTGTGAACGCAGGCTTCACACAAGTGTTTTCTACAGTGTGTGCTTTGGCTGCATGCATATAAAGACAAAAACACTGCCTATATGGTGCATAAAATAAAAGATATTTCGTTTATCTTGATAATGTTGACTATCTATTGAGTGCTGTTGATAGTAGTGGCGTAGCCAGGAACTTCTAAGGGGGTGAGGATGGAGGGGGGTTGAGGTGGCTGGGATGTTCATGACTTGGGGTGCGAGGGGGATGGTTTCGGAATTTGTGTCTATATTCTAGGGCCCGCCGATTTGGGGAGGGAAGAAGCGAAGCCCTATAAACCCCCCCCCCCCCCCCCCCATCCCCGGCTTTGCCACATAAGGGGAGCATCCTACATTCACAGGCTGCTATAAGCATGTGCATAGCCCCTGAGCTCGTACCACAATGGCAAGATAGTTGCTGACATTCTTCACGTTACGTAGCAGTTCTTTCTTTTTTGTACATATGCTCGCTTTTCCTTCACACATCTACTCTGCCTCCGCTTGTCGTTTATGCTTGATTGTGATAGGCCAACAGTGCGTATTTGCTCTGCATCACAGGCAAATTTCAAAAATCCAGCTCACACTACTCTTTAATTTCAATGAGTTACTGTCACTTTTGAAACGACAATCTATTGAATTGCTCTCATAACACGTATGTTGACCGTAGGACAATTCTATTTTTATTGTTTTTCTTGGTCACGAAGATGACAACCATCCACAAGACACTGGCTAAATTTCTCGTCTACAGCGGGTAACAATGTTACCATACTCTGTCAGGTTAAACTGCTGCTGTATAGACAAGTAACGATTAATTTTAGGACAGACCTGTTTGTAGTTTATTGCAGGACATTGAAAAGTGTTCTTATAACTTTCCGATGACTGACTTGCAATTCCAGCAGCTTGGCGTGCAAAGGTAAAACATCTAATTGATACAACGAAATGCCATCAGCAACCCATCCAGATTTTATTGCGTAATTGACAGTAGCTACAGACCGCAACAAATTGTCAACTAAAGGCATAGGTACTAGGCGTGCACTAACTTCGAAGCGGTAGAAACCCTGAAGTTTAAACGTCAACCTACCACCATGTGGTTAATGGCAAAATGGTGATTGCGGCAAAGTGTTGGAGTCCTTCAGAATGGTGACGGTCTCCTTCAGACCGATGATGACGGTGACAAAGGTTTAGTTAGAGTCTAAGTTTAGTCAACGCACCCGACGACGTCGGTGTGCTTGTCATGGTGGCGACGAAAGCCTTCTTTCGCACATGCCTCAGCTGCCTCGGTCCAGGGTTTTGTCAACCCAACCGTCTGTTCCCAGCCGGTTGACAGCGACACTCACAACGGCCGTCAAGGCTCTGATCACCATCCACTGGGCATTAGCTATGTGATCATCGGGGGCAACCGCGCCCTTGTAGTTCCCCATTGCGAAAAATCTCAGTGCGATTCAATTAGTGGCTGCTGCTCGACGGTCATCATCTCTCATCGTCGCAGTCTCTCGTTGTCACACTGCGATCACACGGTGCTTTTCGACACGCGGTATTGTCGTCAAAAACAGTCGTCGTGCATCGCGAAGGCAACCGGGTGCTCGCGGAAAACCCGTCATTGTACGCGTAGCCATCGTTGAGCAACAAGCATCGCCGCCATTTTCTACGCTCTAGAATCCTGCCCAAAGCTTGTTCCGCTTCGTGCAATAGAAAGAGAGGTTAAAAGCACGAGCGCATCACCCCGAACGATCTTGCACGAACGTTGGCTTGCACTGCGCAAGCGCGCCTGCTCGACAGGGACGTTGAAAGCCCGGAGCACGTTCTTGTAGCTCCTACACCCTCACTAGCTCGCACTCATAGTGAAACAGAGAGTAGGGTGTGTCGAGTAATACCGCAGTTAATCTAGTGACGCGACTTCCGCTATGTGCTACGTAGGTCGGACGTGGTCATACGTCACTTTGTCGTCACGGTCCGAACTCGAAGAGCGACAGTTACGGCAAACGGTTGCTTTCGTGTTTCGCGAACGTTCCCATGGGAACCGCGTGGAATTATCACGCGGGCTGTGGCCAATAGGAGCGCGCGGTTCGTAGGGGGGAGGAGTTTTCGAGAAACACGAACGTGACCGTTTGTGACCAGAATAGCACCCCAGGTTGGCAGCGAGACGCAGCGGGACGCCTACGGAAACTTCAACGGCCGGTCAGCCCACCTCTTTGTTCACTGTGACCTGTTCCACTTTTGCCGTGGGCTTGCTAAACTATGCTTGAACCTGACGACTCGCGAGCATTGCGATTGTGAATATTAGAACGGCGCGCGCTTCACGTCCACAACGCGCCCTGGGTTAACACTCTAGAAAACACTGACACTGGAAGATGAAGAAGTTTAGTAGAATTTAGAGGCACTGCAACAGCATCGGCAAATCACTTGCTTTGGAACGCCGAACGTGACCCGATCCCAGAGTCAGCACTCCGTACAGATGATTTTGTCATTCGAGATCAATACTACGATGTTGAATTCATCCTTCCTGCACAATGTACGTAACTCATTCTCCTTCCGTACAGCTTCTAGAAACATTGAACGTGAACACTGCCTGTTTTACGCTCCAGTTTTCTGCAACTGCAGACTTTAAAGGGGGGTTACAATTTTAAGATTAAAAGAATTGGCATCTCGTCATATTTACATTGTTTATCTTGTCCCGGAGGATGAAGAAACCATCTCGTTCATTAAAAAATGCCGCGATTACGCTGCGCAATTGCAAAGCAAAAGTGTAGCTTTTTCCCCACCTGCCGCCGCGAGTGGCAGTCGAAGGAACTACGGCAAGAAGCCTGCGTGACCTCGCTCGGCTCTATGTTGCAGCATTACGCCCGATAATGTCAGCAGACAGAGGGAGAGGAGGCGTACTCCGAGAGAGCATACGGTAACCTACATGGCACCGCGAATTACGTCATTAGGAGTGCGACCAGAGCCAAATAAATAGACAAAGATAAAGACCCTGAAGACTGGGAGTGAGTTGAGGAGTGCCGAA